AGTAAAAAGGGTCTAGCGTAGTGATTAGTGCAAGTTCGAGTCTTTTGACAGACTCGTTCATTCAAATCTTGTTCATTAAAATGAACTTATCTTTTTTTGAGTCATTTTGTTCATTTGAACTAGGCTGGTTATTGTGGCGCTGCAGCCCTCTAGTGGGCGATTAAAAAACAGCGCCGTTCTCAAACACGGAAGGCTGCCTGGCTTGCTTTATTTGACAAAGTATAATACACAAATTCACCTCTTGATTACTGTATGCCATCATTATGTAACCCCCCCTGGGCCCACAACCAAATTCAAACCATGTAAAAACCACAGAAATATGTTGTCTATATGCAATCCACTCTTCCGGCTAAATCTTCCATTTTCACAATCTTTCCCAAGTATACAACCAGACCAGCCATATAAAAGCTTACGTATATTATTACTATCATTATCTCTGAAACATTAGGTCCGGATTCTGCAGACAGAGAAACACACATGAGCACATCACTCCCAAACACTGCCAGGTTGTTCACCATCACGAGCTGTGAAACAACAGCACGGCTCTGTTAAAGAAAACAGAAAAGTTACGTTGCGTTCTCTGGCGGACCTGGATCAGCTGTTAACTGTTTACAGGGCTAATGCTAACATTGCTATGTGGCTGTGTTTTAATGTTTTAATGACCGGGTCTGTTTGTTTTGGAGAGGAGACGACCTCTGAGGTAATTCGGCTCCAGGAAGAACCCTGTCAGGGCTCTGAAGTGGAGCGGACCCAGAACAACTCTCATCAGGTGTTAGCTGTAATGTTAAACACTAGCAGGACTAAAGTTACGGTACGGCTGTGTTTAAACTATAACTTAGCACAACATCACTGCGCTGTAATAATGTTATGCTTTATTAAATGTCACATAATTAACAAAACAGCTATATAATGTCAGTCCAGTGACTGTTACCTGACAGCCGACCTGACTCTCATTCTCCGGCGCTGGCAGTCACTCAGCCTGCCGAGTGAACGAAAGACTGAGGAGGACCCATGTGAGCGGTGAACGAGTCATTCATTCATGCTCCACAGTAGCTGTAACGTGACAAATGAACGACTCAGACCTAGAGACCCACAGTTCAGAGTCGTGAACTAATCACTTCTGTTTCCTGTGCTGCCCGCTTACCACAGCCCTGTAGCCGAGCTGTCACGTGACAAATGAACGACTCAAACAGACAGCTGAGAGTCGTGAACTAATCAATTCTGTTTCCTGTGCTGCCTGCTTACCACAGCCCTTTAGCTGAGCTGTCACGTGACAAATGAACGACTCAAACAGACCCACAGTTGAGAGTCGTGAATTAATCAATACTGTTTCCTGTGCTGACGGAGCCCATGCAGCTACCAAAAACACCATTAAAATCCAAAAACAACAAGAACCCCAAAACCATGATGTGAAGGTTTTATTACACGTACTTACTGTAACGAGAGTGGTTGTTGCCAACTGGAGTAATCGCCACCTCTGATCTGCTGTCCGTTGACTTCGCTCCGTGTGTGTTTAAAGCTGCTCAGCACACCAGAGGGAAGAGACTGCAGCCTGATTATAATTAATTAAGCTTGGCGCAGTAACCATTTATGAACAGTAAATTGTAAATAAATGCAAATTTTAGTTTGTTACTCATTTCAGAGTTTCTACATTGAATTAATTTACTTGGAAACTAAACCACAATAACACTAGAAGTAAGAATTAAATGGGTTTTGGTTTAATAAGCAAAATTGATCTGCCCACAGGCCGCTAAGTGTTGAGAGTGTTGGCATTTCTTCACTGCTTTGTTGCATTAGATGTGTTTCTATCATTAGAAGAAAAAGAAATTCATCACATCATTACATTACATTTGCCCAGCCCCCTTCCAGTACAAGGCAGTGGACGAGGACAGCAATGCTCATTAAATGTGCAGACCTCGGACAGTCATGATGCTTGCAGGTTTCCTCTTTTTGCTCCCTCTCACAGGTAAGCTGGGATAATTGTGTATGATGCATGCAGGTGTACACGGAGTAATGTTTTGCAGTTTGGTTAAACTTTTAATTCCTCATCATTCCTTCTGCTTGTTAATTTAAAGAAAAATGTCAGAAATGTTGGCTGATCATCCAATTTGCTATCTTCTTTAATTGACACAAACTAGCTTCAGTGTGTCCTGTTGACAAACTTGAATTCTAGGATTTTCGGAACTTAATATTTATGTGTCTGTTCACACAATTATATTATTATATAATTAAAACCTTAACTGACATCTAGACATGCAGATAATTATGATTTTGTCTGTTGCCACCCCAACACAATAGAGTTTTGTTTTGTTTTGTTTTTGAGATTTGATTAAATGCCATTTTACAGGGCAGAGCCTCACAAACAAAATCCCATTCATCTCCATTGCTTTAGGGTAGATGCAGACATCTCTCAGAACCAGTTAAAACCACAACTATCTGCATAGCTATAGATAAATGAGAAAATATTTATTTAGTAAATTGGGTTCTTACCATATTTGCTTTTCAAAATGACATGTTTTAGGCAAAATATAAGATTCATATGGTTTCAACATAGTTTTCTGAGAGGCTGATTGAGTCAAGCTGGATATGACCAGGAAGTTTTAGGACACCAGCCAAGGCAACACCCTGGGCAATATGAAAACCTTAAGCGATTACAATGTATTTAATCCACACTCAAAAAGTAAACCTAACCGTCCTGATTTTAAAAGAAAGATCCCAGATGAGACCCAATATTTGTTACATCACAGTGGCATCCAGGAAAGTGGGACCAACAAATAAATTGAATTCTAAATTGGGTGGAAAGAATCAGAGGATGGGCGGAGAACAGTTCAAGAATAAATCAAATATTTTGTTGTTAACTTAAGAACACTACAATCAACTGAAAACAATCTCCTCTAAAATGGGAGGTGAAAACTGTCATTAAAGGTAACTCAAGACACAGGATAAATGCCAACCAAGAAGTGAACAATCATCAATCACCCTAACAGATCAACGTACCACACGCTACATACCCCAGCTCCCTGGGGACAAGCAACACAGCTCGGTTAGAGCAAACACATGCGGCATCCACACAGCCACTGGCATCTACATAATGCACTCCGACAACCTTTTTTCTCCCACTGAGCTTGGTGTGGTCTCAGCGCACACCTGAAGTCACTGTTTTTAACCATTGTGGATGCTTTTTGAAGCTTTTTGTGTGTAGTAATTAAACTAAAATATATATTACTTGTATAAGCAGTAAACAGAAAAAGTATTTCAACAAAGTATACATTGTCTGTTGTAAATGGCCTGACGTTAAAATTACCGGCCCAAAGTATTATTCCAGTTGAGTTTACTAGAATTGCATTCCTGTCCTTGAATTACACAACATGTATTTGGAGATGGATACCAAATGGAAACCCTATTTAGATAGTAAATTAGTGCAAAAATGCTCACATTTAATAAATAATTAGTTATCTGTCCATTAGTGGACTGATGACAACCGGCAGGCCTGCCAACATTCATCTCATAATGGCCTTTCAGTGACCACAATCACTGGATAATCAGATATTTGTGAGATGGTGTTTTTCAAGGCTTGATAATATATTCAGAAGCAGCTAACCACACAGATTAATGTTTGTCATTTCTTCTAAATTATATGTAATGAAGAACACACACAGTAAATCAGAATTTCAAAGTCGATTGCAAATGGATCAGTTCACACAATTATAAAAAACCTTAACTGGTATCTAGCAACCCAGAATATTTTTCTTTTAGTTTTTTGTATTTTTTTTCTTGCCACCCTAATACAATATAAGTTAATGGGGTTTTGTTTGTGATACTCACAGCATTCCAAATAAAACAAAAATGCCATCAAAATGTCTTCCTAAAAACTATTCACATTGTGTGGTATGTGGATAATTCAGAGGAACAGGGACACTGTTCCTGGAAATGTTGCTGTTGAATTTTGTAATTGCCATTTAACAGTACGGTGAGCTTCACAATCAAAATCCCATTCACCTCCATTGTTTTAGGGTAGAGCCTAATAATTTGGATATGGATAGATGGATATTTCAAAAGCAGTTAAAACCACAACTATCTGCATATCTAAAAATATTAATATTTCTTTGTTTTTCAAATACACTTGCAAAACTGCTACAACTGAATCAAGTTGAGTCAGGGTAAATCAAAGTGGTATTAGTAAGACTGTCCTCAGCACATCGTGTCACAACTACCCTTCCCAAGTTGATTCTATGTTTTAAATAACTAATAAATGTTGTCAACACTTTGTTCTATGTAGGAAATCACGACATGTGTGTGAAAAGAAAACATATTGACAATAAAGATATACTCTTTTCTTTCAGGTGGAAGTACCTCCAATTATACAGAGCGACCTCAACTTCTCGATTATCAACAGAACTTCAATCAGAGCTTTGAGGAAAGTATGTAGAGGAAGCAAACACTCCAAAAGTATCTTGGATGTTGTGTGTTCTGTTATGAATGCATGACAATTGGCTTGGTTTGACGTTAAAGATTCCCAGCCTGATTTTTTATTCCAGTCCAGGCTTGGGTTTAAAAAAGGAGAAAATTGCACCTCTGTCCTTGATTTGAACACCATTCATTTTTATGTATAGCAGATGGCTCCTAAATGGAAACCCTATTTAGACTTAAATTCCTGAAAAATGCATTAAAGTGGACTAATGACATAAAAGTTGGCACCACTGCCAACACCTATCTCATAACAGCCTATCAGTGGATAGACACCAATCACTGGATATTACTGTAGATATTGGTGAGTTGGTGTTTTTCAAGGTTTGATAATACATTCAGAAGCAGTAGATTGCTGCACTAACAGATGTTTGTCATTTCCTCTAAATTATAAGTAATGATGAACACACACAGTAAATCTGATGTACAGACAAAAACAAAAACATAAAACTCTGAAGTTCTAATTTAAAAGCAAAGATAAGAGCATGGAAGTCAAATGTCTTTATTTTTTTGCTTTCAACTATAAACTCAGAATGTATCTTGATATTCTTCCAGTAAATAGTGATTCCTCTGAGGGTAAATGTGGTTATCAGGATGTTTTGAACTACCTCAACCTGACCAAAAATAATGATCTGTACACCATGGCCCGCCCTGTTATAAACTACACAACGACTACAAATGTATACCTCCAAATGCTGGTCCATAGCATCCTAGATGTGGTAAGTTTTGAATTATACTTTACATTTTGTGTCATTTTTTTTTCTTTTAATGGTAATAATTATTTCTGAAATTAAATTTTGAAATTAAATTATATGATATTTTGTGAAAATCATGGCCATGTGCCCTGGTTTTGTTTTGGATATAGTATAGTAGCCATATGCTAGCACTCTAAAACTAACAAAAGCTCCCAACTTCTGCACTTTCTTGGCTTTTATATGTAACCAAACTAACTGTCAGCCATATAAATCGAAACATTACACCTTAAATAATGATACAAACTCACTTGAGTACTGTGACAAAGCTTATGTAGCTGTCTTTAAGCATTGTTACTGTAGATGTAGGGGCTCACTTTTGTTATAGATAAAAATTAGAATCTCGTTTTCAGATAATTTCATATTTCTACTACTTTCATGATACAACATACATACAAGTTGGTAGATTTTATTTGCTGTGAAAATGAAAATGTAGCCATCGAAGGTACAACTCAGAAGAATAAATGCAACTTTATTGTCTCATCGGGTTGTCTGTAGTAAAGCTGATTGGCTGATCCAGATAACTGTCCTTTGTTTCCTCAAAGTTACATATGAAGTCAGATTTTTGTCAACTTGTATGATATGTTAAAACCAGTATAGCACAATGTTTTTTGATTGTGTAGCTGTGTTTATGGTCATCTTATGACGATGTTAATTGTGAAAGATTTTCACAAATATTGCATTTCTTTTCTCATAGAAGGAGACTGACCAGACTTTTGTTCCTTACATTTGGATTTATATGGTGAGTTGTCCCTGAGATGGACAGCACTTTTTGATCATTCTCACCTGTTCATGCTAAGTGGAAACTCAAATGATTTCCATTCTTTTCATCTTTTCTTTGTCTTTCTCTCCTTTCTTTTTTCCTTACCCCCTTCCTCTCTCATTTTCCTGTGTAGGCGTGGCAAAATGAACACATTTACTGGAAACCAGAGGACTTTTGTGGGCTTAGTAGTATGTCAGTTCCTATTGATAGATTGTGGAGGCCTGATATAACTATTGAAGAGATGTACGTTTTATTGTGTTTGCATGTCACATATTATTCTCAACAGTTACTGTTTAGAAATGACACAAAAACTGAAGTATTTGGATGCCACAACATTTATACAGGTTTTAAATGTGTTGATTATTTCAATATTATGTATTACATATATGTATTTTTAATGTAAAATGCTTTGTGAAAGTCTGAAACAATCAAAACTAATCAAGATTTAACTAAGCCATATGCACTAATGGAGAAATGTAATGGTGCATCCATTAAACATATAGCATCTTGGGTTTGAAATATATGTTAACACTAAACTATCGCACATCAAATTAGTGTAATTATTGTATACGTTGAGAATGAGTAATACATAGGTACAGGAATAAGAAAGTAACAACTTTGTGTGGGGACTTAAAATACGCTGCAAAATTTTTGTAACTCCTGAATACTTACTGAATACTGAATACTATAAATTACAGCAGAATGAAATATTGTTACTACACTGAACAAAATTATAAACGCAAAACTTTTGTTTTTGCCCCCATTCATCATATGCTGATCTTAAAGATATAAAAATTTCTCTGTGTACACAAAAGGCCTATTTCTATCAAATATTTTTCACAAATCTGTCAAAATCTGTGTTAGTGAGCACTTCCCCTTTTCCTAGATAATCCATCCAGCTCACAGCTGTGGCATATCAAGATGCTGATCAGACAGCATGGGTACAGGTGTGCCTTAGGCTGGCCACAATAAAAGGCCACTCGAAAATGTGCAGTTTTGCTGTATTGAAGGAGTCCGAAGGGGACGGAAACCAGTCAGTATCTGGTGTGACCACCATTTGCCTCACGCAGTGCAACACATCTCCTTCGCATAGAGTTGATCAGGTTGTTGATTGTGGCCTGTGGAATGCTGGTCCACTCCTCTTCAATGGCTGTGCGAAGTTGCAGTCAGGTCGAGACCCTGATGAGGAGGAAGAGCTCATGATGAATGGGGGCAAAAACAAAAGTGTTGCGTTTATAATTTTGGTCAGTGCAGATAACAAGACAGGAAAAGTGGGGAAAACAGGTAAGTGTGCCGACGCAATAAAATGCAATAAAATAATGAAATACAAATAAAATTATTTAGCCATGCAAATGCCTAAACATGTTCTTTTAAAGATCAAGGTTGAGATTGAGGTTATTGTTTGGTGATCTCACCTGTGTTAATCACCCTGCCTGTGTTTGTGTGATGGTCATCGTTACTGCCCAGTGTTTGCCTGTAACGTTAATGCATTTTTGGTTTCTATTTAGTATGTATTGGGTAATCTTTTATAAAGTACTTTATTCAATGGCCTTCCTAACTGCAAATTTGTTACCCCCTTATTCCCTATACTTCTTTCATGAACTACTGTTGGTAGACCCAGTTCCCCTTCGAGGGAACTTGAACTGCGTCGTTGATGACACTATGGGAACGCCTCTGGGCGTGGCAGGGCTGAAATCATGAATGAAACTACTCCAATCCTGTTGGCGTTGCTAGAACAGTAGCGTGTGACGGCGTAACTGGTGGCGTATATAAGCACACCGGCACACCGGACACATTAGCTTTTTTCTATTCAGCAGGCACTCTGGCATGTTCGAGACTACTCAGGAAAAAAAACCACGAGACCTGGAAGGAGAAGCAGAGGAGATGGCTAGTGAGCAGTTCAGGCAGTGTGTTTTTCCATGCCCGCGCTACATCACGGCTGGGGACACTCATGCCCTGTGTGTTTCCTGTCTGGCGATGCCGCATGTCCAGGCAAGTCTCGAGTGCGTTCCTCGTCTGCTGGCTCCGACTCCCCTCTTCCCCGTTCGGGAGCCTGTTTTTCGGCTTCTCCCGCTCGAGTTGTGAGCCCGGAGAGGCTGCGGCTGTACGGTTCTGAGGAGCTGGATGTGCTCAGCATTATGGGGGAGGCGAGCACGCGCCGTCCTGCCTGCCCCGAAGGGCCGCAGTCGAGAGGCGCTCGCGCTCACACACCGCAGGTTATCGGCGTTTTTTCCCTGGCGGACCTCCACTTCAGGGTGCCACCGGGGACCTACGCATAAAACTGGCCACTATTTTCTCGTGGGTCCTGTGGATGGCTACAGGCTGCAGTTCCGGGTCGGCCCCCCCAGATTCAACGGGGTGGTCTGGAGATCTGCGGTCCCTGAACCAATCTGTGAGGAGATTCAGGTTCAAGATGCTCACCATCCCCGCCATCGTCAGCCACATCCAATCCGAGGATTGGTTTGTCACGATAGATCTGCGAGACGCATATTTCCACATCTCCATCCGTCCCTCTCACAGGAAGTTCCTGTGGTTCGCCTTCAGGGGCGCAGCGTACCAGTATCGGGTTCTTCCATTCGGCCTAGCACTCTCCTCTCGCACGTTCACCAAAATGCATGGGTGCAGCTCTGGTCCCGATGAGACTCCAGGGCGTCCGCATACTGAACTACATCGACGGCTCATTTTGGCTCAGTCTCGGGAGTTAGCAGTTCGGCATCGAGATGTCATCCTTGCCCACCTTCAGCGTTTGGGACTACGCGAAGAAGAGCGTGCTGATGCCCGCCCAATGGACTACGTTCCTAGGGGTAGTGATCCAGATCCATTGTGTCCTCAGTGACCAGAGTGAAGCTAGGCCGCACCATCACTGTGAAACACTTTCAGAGGGTGTTGGGTCTCATGGCGGCAGCGTCCAGCGTAATCCCGTCTGGCCTTCTACACATGAGAGCCTTGCAGTGGTGGTTAAAATCCAAGGGGTTCTCCCCGAGGGGAAATCCGTTCCGTCTGATACGGGTTACGAGCAGGTGCCTTCGTTCCCTGTCAGTATGGAGGAAACCTTTGGTTCCTGTCCCAGGGTCCCGTGTTGGGAGCGTCATGTCGCCGGACAATTATTTCGACAGACGCCTCACTCACGGGGTGGGGCGCGGCCATGGACGGCCACTTGGTGAGAGGCTCCTGGCAGGAGCATCATTTGCCTGGAAATGTTGGTGGTTTTCAGAGCTCTGAGGAGGTTCCTGCCCGCTCTCCGCGGTCGCCACGTCCTTGTCAGGACCGACACACGGCAGTGGTGGCCTATTTGAATCACCAGGGGGGTCTGCACTCGTGCCCATTATGCAAGCTGGCACATCAGATCCTCCTGTGGTCCCAGCAGAGACTGCTGTCTCTCAGAGCGACCCAGACCCAGAATCAGGGAGCAGACCTGCTGTCGAGACAGGGGCTGAGGCCTGGGGAATGGAGACTCCACCCCAAGGTGGGGAAGTTATTGTGCGAAAGGTTCGGCCCTATAGACGTCGATCTGTTTGCGTCTCAAGAGACTACGCACTGTCCACTGTGGTTTTCCCTCTCATCCCCAGCCCCGCTAGGGCTGGATGCCATGGTGCAGACGTGGCCGAGGCGCCGTCTGTATGCTTTTCCCCCAGTTGCTCTGCTCCCGGGGGTTCTGGAGTGGGTCCGTCAGGACAGTGTCAGCCTACTGCTAGTATCCCCGTTTTGGCCGGCCCAAGTGTGGTTCTCGGACATAATATCACTCCTGGAGGGCCCGCCATGGCAGGTCCCTCTGAGGAGGTACCTGCTGTCTCAGGCGGAGGGCCAGGTCTTTCACCCTTGCCCCGCCCTGTGGAGACTGTGGGTCTGGCCCCTGAGGGGGTCCAGTTCCTTGAGGCGCCTGACCCTTAAGATTGCCTTTCTCTTCGCTATCACCTCTCTGAGGAGGGTGGGGGTTCTCCAGGCACTTTCGGTTTCTCCTCAATGCCTGGAGTTTTCCCCGGGTAGGGTCAGAGCCATCCTGCACCCCTGTTCGGGCTATGTCCCTAAGGTTCCGTCCAGGTTGGCAGGGTCTACGGTGCTGCAGGTGTTTCATCCCCCACCTCATGTGACGGCGGAGGACGGGAGACGCAGAGCAGATGAGTGAGTATTTACACTCAGAGGTCCTCCCAGTGGAGGAAAGCAGACCAGTTGCTGGTGTGTTTCGGGTCCCCCAAGGCTGGGCTCCCCGCTTCTAAACACACGATCAGCAACTGGATTGTTCAGACTATTTCCCTGGCCTATCAGGTGCGTGGGTTACGTTCACCTATGGCCGTAAGGGCGCACTCTACTCGAGGCATGGCGGCCTCTAGGGCCCTCCTCGCAGGGGCTTCGCTCCAGGATTTGTGTGAGGCAGATGGCTGGGCCACTCCTCACACTTTCATCCGGTTTTACAGTCTGGACCTTCCTTCTGCACCCGGCACCCGTGCACTCTCCTCTTAGTCGTGCCTACTGGTTACTGCATGCTGTGGGGCAGGCAGAGGCTTCGGTGGGTATTCACATTCCCATAGTGTCGTCACCGACACATTTCAACCGAGACATTCCACTTTGAGGGAAATGTCTCGGGTTACGTATGTAACCCTTGTTCCCAGAGGCGTTCCCATAGTGTCGTCACCGACGCAGTGTCTCATTCCCCTTCTAGGGGAACAAGGGTTACATACGTAACCCGAGACGTTATTACAGTAATTTAGTAGTACTATCCTGTGTGTACAAAATATAAAATGTTGGAACAGGCTGAAATATGACATTGTCACATTGTGTGGATAGTGTATTTATAGAAACAAAAAGATAAATTAGAGAAAAATAAAGAGGTTAAGACATAGTTAATTGCATCATACTGTATGTTACTTAGATTTATTTGTATGGTATGATTGAACTTTAATTTGAAGCATAAAGCTTTTGACATAATGTATGTTTGTTCTCATATAGGACAGAAATGGATAAAGCTCCCCCAAGTCCTTATATCAGAATATTTTGGAACGGTTGGGTTGTACGTCTGAATGATATGGTTCTGGTCAGCACATGCAAGATGCAAGTTTACAAATTCCCTTTCGACATTCAGAGCTGCAACATATCTTTCAAATCTGCCATACACCACGGTGAGCATGTAACCTGTTGTGTTTAAATATTTCTAGACATTCACCAAAAATGTTTTGCTGTAGTGCCACATGAGCACACACCAGCAGATGCCACCACATACATTCCTTCTTTGTTGACCTAATAAGAAACCTCACCGTATTTTTTTTTTATCTCCCACCTCAGTCAAGGAAATACAGCTTGTTCAGGAGATCAGCGATCCATCGATGTCAGAGTGGTCTCATGATTTGCCGACTGTGTATGAGTGGCTGTTAATGAGAATGAACACCACCACCAAAAGTGTCAACACTTTAGGTTTTGAACAAAGCACAATTGTTTACACTGTAAGTATTTCTGCATACAAACACACAGTGGTGGAAACTATTGAGCTGGGACACCTCTGTTATCTGAGAGCAGGTGTTTTACCACTCTATGTAGCATGTCCTACTCCTCACCTTAAGATTTCCAAACAAATAGCAAATCAGGACAAAAGTTACAATTGATTTAATAAAGGATCTATAAAACATAGTCATAACCGTTTAGTCCACGTTAAAAGAGTTAAGTTTCCTCGGTAAAAATAGAAGTTGACCAGTAGAATGGGGAGCATGTATTTCCCTTTTTTTGAGATGGCTGTAAAGGAGGCTAATGTGAGTGTAGCTTCCTCCATCCCTCTGTTGCTCCTATTGCAAACTGCATGGGCTTTTTTTGCAATGGGAACAACAGTAGTTTTTTCCTAGGACATGGTTACCCTCTGTACATCTGTATTCAGAGAAGTATGAAAGATATAGTGTGGTGTGTGATATTGCAAAGTTGGCTGGCGCAGGCATAGTAGGAACATCAAAGAGGCCATGACAGCTACATGCCCTGCAGCCACAGTGGCCTCAATGTGCTGCCTGCACTGCCTCCACCTGATTTTGTTGTTTTCTCCTCTGCTTCTTTCCTGTTAATACGTTTTAGACATCATGAATTCTTATTAGGCAACACTAAGTGAAGCAAACAGTTTCCTTTTTTAACGTATAGGAGTAGGAAGATCAACCACCTGACCATTAAAAATAATTTCACAGATCTCCATGAAGAGACGGTCCCTCCTCTACGTTGTCAATTTCTTGTTGCCTGTCCTGTTCTTCTTGTGTCTGGACTTGTCCTCCTTCCTGATCTCAGACAGAGGGGGCGAAAAGCTCAGCTTCAAGGTCACTGTGCTGCTTGCTGTCACTGTGTTACAACTTATTCTGAATGAAATTCTGCCTTCCTCATCAAACAGGATTCCACTTATAGGTAAAAAAGCTCAGAGTACAGAGCACATGCTGACTCAGTGTGTAGATATTTGTCCACATTAATTATGCTGCCTCCTCCCTTTAGCAACCTACTGTATTGGGAGTTTTGCATTGATGATGCTCAGCCTCCTGGAGACGATTTTGGTGATGCATCTGATGGAGAAAGACTCTGCATCCCAAGACGAGGCAAACAAAGACCAAAGCCTGAGTGAGGACTGTGGGGACAAACGAGGCAAAGTCACCTTCCACAATTGTTGTAGAGGTGAGATTAAGCATAGATTTCTACGTGTTGTTCAGTTTACTACTGTTACTATTTTATTTACCTGCTATAATGGTGTACACTATTTGAATATGCTTCAACCATCTTTGTGCGAAACTTTTCTTTTCAGATGAGAGGAAATGGACTCACTGTGTGTCTGTCTGTGATGTGTCTACTGGTGAAACTCCATCTGGACTGCTGTCAGTGGCCAAAGAGGTTAGAATTATTAATATGGTCGGTTCACCTAAATGAAATACCAAACAAAAATGGAAAAGTCTATAAAACGTTTGACAGTAGGCTCTTTGCATTAAAGACATGGATTCTGTTTCTGGAAGAAGACATTGCTGTTAAATTTCTAAAGTTTCCCCATGCACTTAAATCTTAAGACTAACCCAAAAACTGTTTGCATGACATGATACCACAATGGTTAAGTGAGAAAATATGTTAATTTGTTATTTGGATGAACCAAACCTTTTAGGCCCCATCCACACTACTACGTTTTGGTTTTAAAACGGAGACCTTTTGCTACGTTTGCACATCCCATCCGGACTAAAACGGCGCAAATGAAGACCTAAAACGGAGAAGTTTGGAAACGCTGCCAAGCCCGCATTTCTGGAGGGCATTTTAGTGAAGACAGGCAAAAACAGAGGACTTTAGAAGCGATGACACAGACGCTCACACACAAAGCAGAAACACAATGCTACTGACGGTTTTGACTTGGTATTTTTATTAAAATATTTGTACCGTGCAAATAACACTTAATGCTTACAATTGTACTGTGTATGTAACCGTATTTACTTTACGACGACTCCCAGTCTGTTTGCCGCCGCTTATTAACTCCTGTGTTACATTCAGTAGTCACTGCTCGTAATTGATTCATGCAAAAAAAAATCTGGTGTGGTTCTTCGTCTGCATTACTTTATTCTTTTCGACCAAATCTGTAACTACGGAAGACAGAGATCATCTGCTTCATGTTTACACCGGCACGCACATGCCCAGTGTACGTGAACGGCCACTAGATGTGCGTTTTCAGTCATTTTAATGTAGACGGAGATTAACTCTGATATGCAGCTAAAACGCTAGAGTGGACGGAGATCATATTTGTTGTAATTCTCCGTTTCTAAACTAAAACGGAGGAGTGTAGATGGGGCCTTAGTCTCATCACAACAGACACAAAACCAGAATGTCAAATATAGCAGCTTGCTATCTTGTGTTTCATAATTTCTTTAATAACCCGTTTACTAAACCACTTCTGCAGGGCAGCAGCAGCAAACTAATGGAGGACTTCCATGCCTTGGAGAAGCTCTCAGATGACCTTAGGCAGGTGGAGAAAACGCTGACTGTGCTTCTCAACAGCAGGAAGGAAGAAGGGAAACCTGGCTACTGGACCAGAGTGGCTAAAATAATCAACAAAGTCTTTTTCTTTGTCTATGTCACAGTGGCCAGTCTGTTTTTAGTTTGTATCTTTTTAAAATGGATCTATGCAGCAGACGAGTAGTGCTAAAGTTTAAAAACATGATTAAGTGTAAGCAGAGGTGGGTATAAGTTAGATTTACACCGTTACATGTACCCAAGTAACTTTTTTGAGTAAATTGTTGTTGTCAGAGTAGTTTTAATGTATCATACTTATACTCTTAATTTTTTATCCTTACTACATGCATCCACTTGTGCACGTGCAGCTAGCGCTGTCTCATCCCAGGGCATCCAATACCAATACTTTGTCAGACTTTCTCAAAGCATCGGTATTTGACGCCCTGTGCTGACTCTGAGCTGACAGAGATCAGTGTCTGTTGTGTTAATGCTAATATGTTTATTAATAAATAGCTACACACAGTTTAAAAACTCTTAAAAACTCTTCCTGCTTTCTGCCTTAATGTAAATATTCAAGCTAACAGTTTACAAGCAGTCTGCATTTAACTAGTCATGCTGGTGTAGCCAGATGAAGAAAGATGAAATTATGCACACAAAAAAAACTACCCTTATTTCATGTGGATGTGACTGTTATAGTGTTTCAACCACATATGATCTTCCCTGCGGCGTAAGGTAGTAACAACGTGCCCCAGTGCAGGCTGTTATGATGGGCCCTTGGGCTACACAGATACGAAGCACATGCACACACACACTGCGTTTGTGTCTAGAAGGGAACATTATATTGGCAAATTTGCGTGCCTTGTTTCCTCGTTTTGCACGGTTTAACAACAGATAAGATGCAGTAAATACCTAATTTAAAGCTCCTTAAATCAATTTCCTCCCATAATAACACATTCAATTCAACAGTTCTCTTTTTGTGCATCTCTTTCCAACACACACGCTGCTGCTGCAGCTGTGTTGCGTGCGCCTGGATGCAGCAGTCTAAAGCAAAGTACCATCATTTACTAATTTTATATTAAATTTTCATGCTCTTATCTTTTTTTTGTATTATTCTTTACACTTGTTAAAGCACTTTGTAACTTGGTTTTGAAAAGTGCTCTACAGATAAGGATTATTATTATTATTATTAATATGTGATGGATCTTAGAGTCGGACTGTGTCACCTAGACTCTGCTAGTCTACTTGGCAGATTTTGCATTTCAGCCGGTTTCTGGAGTCTTGTCTTCTTGTCACATGAAGATTGGACAGCCATATAGTACATATTACCCAGCAATCATCACTGCATATGTGAGTTATGTGACACAAATAGCAAAGAAAATAAGAAACAAATGTATTCTGCTGAATGTGTGGAATCAATTCTTTTCCACTGTATACCTCATAGCCTACTGCTTGCTGCAGAAAATCTGTGGTGTCAGACACCACGGCAAAGGGGGAAATGCACATATGAGTGTATATATACTACTTGATCTTCATGGTCACTAAAGTTAGATGGGTATTGGGTGTTTACTGTTGATAGATGAGACCAAGAGATGTTTTTACCATTTAAATGACAAAGTCCAGCTCATGACTCAGCGGGCTGCTCCCATTATGGGCCCACAGTACAGTGCGGGACTTTTGAGTACAGTTTTGGGCTACTCTACCCACCGCTGAGTGTACGCTAATTTAACATACAAGGTAACGTATTTGTCATGTTACAACAGTGTTGTAAAACGAGATGCTGTTTGTTGTTCCCTTTAAGCTACAAAGCAAACATTATAAGCAAAAATGATAAAATTAGATAAAGAAAAAAAAATTGCATGGTGCAGTGCTGAGGATGAATTTTAGAATCTCAAGTGGATCTTTACACTTCTTTAGTCTGTATTCACACTTAGTTCAAGAAACAAATTAGGAAATGTGTTATTAGCTGTTTAGATACATGTAGTCTATCAGTAGTGTTGTTTGCTGTTCTACACACTGCCATATATCTAACATATTTTCTGTATAAGCCCTCTGATTGTATTATAAAGTTCCAATAATATATATGCCTTTGATGTGTAATATGCACAATTCTCAGTCCATCAGATACATAATAAGATATATAAAAAAATGCAAATGTAGCATCTCATCTCAAGATTCTCATCAAGTTTTCTTCTTTATTTATTTGTTTGCTCATCTATTATACGAAGCATATACCATATGCAAAGCATAAGGTATGTAAATGTGTTTTTTGCTTCTATGGTTTGAGGAATTTCATGCTGTCTTTGTGGGGTTTTTCCACATCCACATTAAAGCTACATTATGTATTCACATGATGGAATAAAAGTTTTATCTGGTTCTGAAAACTTGGATCAGACTTTGTGCTTCTGAAATAAACAATTAAGAAAAATTTTGTTATGTTGTGTTCTAATTCAGAGCGGTCAACATCTGTTTGGGATTATGAGTGTCTTCAAAATCTCAGGAAGAGAGATTTTGTTTTGCAGTCCAGAACAGTTTGATTGGTAGGATACATTTACATTTACATTTTCTCATTTGGCAGATGCTTTTATCTAAAGCGACTTACATTTGAGGAGCTGCATACAAGCATCAATACAATACAAGATCTACAACTAACAATACATACAAGTAAGGGCAGCATAAATACTAGTAAGAGCTAATAGTATGTATGGCATCATGGGGGTAAATACCTAGGGAAAGAAGTAAGAGTTAACAATAACAGTGCAATCAATATAAGAGAATTATAAGGGGATAGAAGAAGAAGGGCATAGGAAGTGCATGTTAGAGGTTAAGGGTTAGAGGTGTTATAAGAGAAAGTGTTCTCGGAAGACATGAGTTTTCAAGAGCTTCTTGAATTTAGAGAGGGACGCCCCTGCTCTGAAGGCATGTGGTAGCTCGTTCCACCATCGTGTCACAGATGAGAACAGGGACTGAGATTGCTTTGTGTGTAGGGATGGCAGAGCCTGGCGGCGTTCGTTGGAGGAGCGCAGTGGCCAAGAAGGAACGTAAACTTGTATTATAGAGTTTAGGTAGACCCAGTGGTCACTCTGTATGCAGCATTAGTGACTTGAATTTGATTCAGGAGGCCACGGGTAGCCAGTGGAGGTCACTAAGTAATGGAGTGAACTGAGTCCTTTTTGGCTGATCAAAAACAAGTCGTGCTGCTGCGTTCTGAACCATTTGTAGGGGTTTCACTGCACAAGCTGGAAGACCTCCTAGGAAGGCATTGCAATAGTCAAGGCGGGAGACAAACATGGCCTGTACCAGAAGCCGGGTGCCATACTGAGTAAGGTAGGGGCTGATTTTTCTTACTTAGTATATATTATTCTAGGATATAGGATGTACCATATACACTATAGGATATACTATAGAAGAATACTTAGTAGTAATACATGGTTGTGTTATAGGTTTTCAAAGGTTGATTGAGGCAACAAGGGATTACAAGGGATAAATTACATTTAGGGTCATTAAAAAGGGGGAAAAAGATATACACCCTGATTTATCACCTTATATTGTGCATATTTGACAGCTACTGAGACTTATCCAGAGTGCCTGCAGTATTTATGCCTTAAATATGTAAGAGTGCAGGAAATGTTGTGGGTTAACAGTAATATTGATCAGCCCACAGTGTGGTAGACATAAGCGGTTGTTGTTTCCTGCATTTGGTGTTTCAACTAAGGGTTGGTCATTCAGTTTACCCAGCCCTCTTCCAGTGAGAGGAAGTGGTATTTTTATAGTAACATGATATTTCCAGAAAGCCCAGAGTGGACAGAGATGCACATGTTTACACACCTCTCACAGACTTTGGATTCTCACTGGTCCTGCATTCATGATGCTTGCTGGCTTTCTCTTTCTCCTCCTTCTCAGAGGTAAGGTTTCGATCATCCACTCAGTGTCCCTGTTGCTCTGAATAATCAACAGACCTCACTGTCAACAGCTTTCAATGGAATTAATTTCTTCCAAGGAAATAGTCTTAGTGAACTATTTGGCTAATCAAGATTAACATGGACACAGTTTTTCTAAAGATGTGTTGTTGCTGACTGCTTTTTAATGTTATGTTAATTCCATCCACCTGCACTATTTTGTGAGAGACAGAAATCTCAGAGATGGATGTCTCAAAACCTGGAAAGAATAACACTATCTGTCAACTAGAGTGAGACATTTGTTTTTATTTTTTTATTTTATTAGCTTATATGCTCAGTTGCCAGTTTACATTTTACTGTTTTATGTTTTTAACTTTTTAAATTGTATTAAGCTTACCTTTACTGCAAATGAATCAATATTTCAGAAATAGTTCTGAGTGCTGCTGCTCATGATTTTATCAGTGTGCATTTGGTGATATTTAGCAGATTGTTCTCAAATGAAGAGACTATTTAGACTTAGTGTCCTGTAAAAGTGCCCACATTTAAAATCCTTTTAGTGGTCGAGTAGAGCTGGTCGAGTATGTGTGACCACAAACCACAGCATATTTCTACAGATATTTGTGAGCTGGATTGACATGAATCAATATTATATATTATTAATGATTGAAAAAACATACTAAAACAAGAGTGCTTAGCTGCTCACACGATATGGCAGGACTCTCATTTTACGGGAAATCACATGATTTTTAAAATAATCATTTGAATATTTGAGCAAACTCTATATATATCATTCTCTTTTTAAAAGTACATATTAATTTTTCTTGGGTCTAGCCTTGTACGTTTGTATTTGCTATGATTGCTGTACATTCCGACGGGTGTACCCGTAACCATAGCATACTTTGAAAACTCAGATTATTGGTCAGTCCCAGATGTTTGTATTATCTAATGTGTAAAAAGTTCTTGCCAGATGAACATAGTAGCCAAATCTAAACTTAGTTTGGTGCCCGTTACAGCAACAAATATGGTTAGTCTGGTAGTTTGTTTGAGCAGAGTGGCCTGGGATGGAGTCAGATAACTAACTAATAATCAACTAACAAATGTTGCCAACACTTAATCATTTTGTGTAGGAAAGCGGGAGATGTGTGTGCAAGGAAAACATGTTGAAAATAAAGATCTGTATACCCTTTTCTGTCAGGTGGAAGTAACTCCAATAATACAGAGCCACCGGAGCTACATGATGATCAACAGAACTTCAATCAGAGCTCTGAGGAAAGTATGTAGAGTAAATAAACACGCCAAAAGCACTCAGTAATTATATGTATTTATGTATGAATTTCAACAATGTATACATGGCAGACCATTTATACACATTGAATTCACAAGGATTGGCCTGGGCTTACGTTAAGATTCCTGGCTTGAATTATTATCCTTATCCCAGTCCAGCCACGGCTGTGCCACCCAAAGAGACACCTGGCACACTCGTTTAACGATTTTTTTGTTATTGCCATACATACTTATCTCAGTTCAAATCTCCTACGAGTCCATCTTTCTATATCCCAGTAAGCAAACAAAAAATACTCAGTTTGAAGTTCAATCCTAAAGTTGGCCAACGAGTCTCTCATGTTTAATAGACAAGCTTAGTAATTCTCCAACAACACTGGAGTTCCCCCGCAGCCTTCGATGCTGGTAAGCATGTAACCAGGCTGTAACTCAGGACAGCCTGGGCCTCTTTCGGACTGGTGCGTTTAGTTTGAAATCCCTTTTTACAGATATTTCCTGAGCTGACTGGTGGCTGTGTGTGACGCAGGTGCCGATCGCCACAATACACTTACCTTACTACACATTACAGTACAGTATTTCTGTTGTACATTTTTCCCGTCCATCAAAGCGGCCGATGGCCCAACAATTTCTCCAAGCACCACCACCACCGTCACCACGTTACCTGCGGGTGGCGGTGCTACTTTCATTCCCTGTGTGACATTTAAGTTTCTGTAGTGTCAGCTTCTGTCAAGCTTAAGGCCATTGTACAACAAGAAGGCAAGCAACAGCGTAACGTGCAGACGAAGCGTCAACTTCGTCCGACTGCTTTCCTCTTGGGTGTCATGTGACCAGAGTGCACTCGCAGCTCTTGTGATTAGAAAATCTTGTTTTATTACATCGCGATAATATCGCTAATGCAATTAATTGTTCAGCCATATTTGCTAGGACAAAAGTAATTGTAATGCAAAGTGCTTTCAAGAACGAACAACGAACAAATATAAAGAATGAGAAAACACAAGCTGTTCCTCAATACCGAGTTCGCCAAGTTCGGACTTCTGTACTTTAAAGTTCGGACTTGGCAAGTTTGGCTCAGGAGTACAAACTCCCAGGAATGGGAGCCCGCAGTCGAAACGAAAACGTCCTAGCATTTTTTAAAATTACCTCTGTCTTGAGAATTCAACCACATATTTGGAGTTTTAACAACTATATTCTCGCATAAAAAACTGATTGAAAAACAGCCACTGATACAAACTAAACAAGCTAAAACAGGAAATATAAAAACAAAAACAAAAATTATTACAAAAGTTATAATTATTAAATTATTATAAATTATTACAAAAGTTGTATTTTTTGAAATAACAAGTAACTGAGAAAACATGTCTCAAACATAGGTGCTCTGTTCTAATTTATATTTTCTCTGTAGATGGACTGTCCTCTGAGCGTAACTGCAGTTATCACGATGTTTTAAAGCACTTGAACTTTACCGAAAACAAAGATCTGCACTCCTTGATCCGGCCTGTTAAAAACCACAAAGAGCCCACAGTGGTACACATGGATGTCCTACTCTATGCTATTCTAGATGTGGTAAGTGATTACTTGTTATTATAAATTGCAATTATTAGTCACTCTGCCAAGTAGTGTATCTTCTCAGTTGTACAATAGCATGATATCTCAGGATTTACTGGAAATCTAGGCTATAAGCCAACATCAACATGTGGCCAGTTTCTGCTAAATGTTTCTTTTGCCAGTATTAACAAATGTTGATATTTCATACAATTTCCTATAATTGGTTGCAAAATTCTTCTTATCTACTATTATCTTATCTACATCTATTGAAAAACAATTTTCTCCCCCTGCAATCTTACTAACCCTCCTTCCTCTCACAAACACTAACAGATAGATGGCACTGTTATTCATTGTACTTTATTCACCTTAATAATATTCACACATACTGTTTTTGTACTTGTTTTTTTTTTATTATTATTATTCTTATTGTAAACCATAGCAGTGACTGTGAAAGATTTGGCATTTGATGACTAATTTGATATTTTTCACAATCATATTTGTACTAAGCCCTCATATTAGAAGATACTACTATCTAATCATGCTGATTAGAATGACTGACTGAATTCCAGTTTTTAGAATATATAAACATTGTCAGTTAGATAAAAGATGATAAAGTGCTGGAATCCTTCTGTATGTTAGATTAGATTTTTAAATATATTTAGTCACCTGTAACCTGACGGGGACAACATGCTGGTGGCAATAACTAAAGATGAAAATTTGGATCAAACAGATAAGACATACTTTACTTATGGACCTGTGATTATAAAGTCATAGTGTACATTTTTGACATCTATTTTTCATTTTATCTTTTATCATTTTATCATTAAATCTTGCTTATTTTGTATTAAATGAAAGTCAAAACACATTAAGACCATGCAGCTAATATTCAAAACTCCCTTTTAAACTACATTTCATCCAGTTAGTCATTTCAGCTGCACCACAATCGTTGTCATTATCATCTTCAACATGATGACAGGAATATCCCATCAGTATGACCAATCAATCTGGCGGAGCCAGCCGTCACCATCTTGGCAGTGCGTCACTCCCGGATAACCAAAAATGGGCGAAGAGGTGGGTTATAGGTGGAGCTGTGATGACGTGTTGCTGAAACCACGCCTGCCTAGCGCAACATGACCAAGTTGTCTTAGGCTAAGAAGCTAATGCTATATGTTACTCTGTGTTGCTAGCTAGCTTGCTAGCCGGCTAACCTTGTCCTCTGGGGCTGTGTAATTCGAGGTTAGATAAAAAAGGACAGTGAGGCCTATAGACTTTAATCTGAGCTGAGGATGAATCCACGATGTCCAGCGATCCCTGTCTCTGTCCTTACATTGATGAAACATTGATCATAAAAGTGATCATGTTAAAAATCCTGTTTGGGTAACTAATTGGGATTTTGCTGTTTTTTTTGTAAATGTAACACCTTTCTAGTCGTTTCGACCACTACATTACATCTGCATTCACCAGTCACACACATTCATACACTGAGCCTAAGTGCTCAAACGAAAACTAACATTCACACTCATACACTGGCGGAATAGCTGCCAGGGGTAATTCAGGGTTCAGTATCTTGCCCAAGGACACTTCGACACGCAACCAGGGGGAGGCAGGGATTGAACTGCTGACCTTCCGATTAACTGCCAACCCGCTCTACCTCCTGAGCCACAGCCGTTTAAGTTTAAGACATAAACTTCTGCAAATCAATGTGTTACGTATGTGCTTTGATGCCAACTGCATGAATGAGGAAATGTGTCCGACAGCTACCTCAGGCTCTGCAGACAGAGAGAAAGTTTGCTGAAGAAAAACCACCAGCGAACAGATCACTTACCATGCATGGTAAATGACCCAGAGTTTAAGTTAACCCTCTTTCTGGAACAGAAAACCCAGAGTTTCCCTCATCTCAGGCTTAACAAACCCAGAAACTTAAACAGGGTGCTGTTTGTATACTCTTATTATCTGACTCTAGTGTGCCTATTCTAAACTCTGTCATATGACCTTTGATATTTGTGAACTTGTAGTAACTTGTATTAACGATTTTCATAAATATTTCTTTTCTCATAGAATGAGAAGGAACAGCAAGTGGTTCCTTACGTTTGGATTAATATGGTGAGTTCTCTATAAAAAAAGAAAACACCTTTTGATTGATTGCATTCCCACCTCTCACTCTGTTGGGAAACTCAAATTTCTTTTGTTTAAACACCCCCCTCCCCTCCTGTTTGCCTCTGTAGTGGTGGAAGAGCGACTACATTGCTTGGGATCCTGCAGACTTCTGTGGTATTAGGAAATTTTCTCTTCCTACTGAATTATTGTGGAAGCCAGATCTAACTATTGAAGAAATGTAAGTTTGAATGTATGTACAAGTATTCCCTTACACTCACAAATGCACATACAGGTGTATAGAGCATCATCTTACTGTTATTCACAATCATATTTATTGCATATATCCTGTAGGTATTGTATTTGACCTATCAACCACCAATCAAGATTAAACTAATGTCAAGTTAACCAGTGGCTCCATCCTCCAAAACTCCTGTTGTGCCAAAACATTGTTCAAAGACCTTGAACAGATTCTAGCGGACAGCCTAAAGATACCTGTTATCTTTGAAAACAATTTTGTTAAGATATTTGGGGAAATGGTGCACCCAAAAAACATTTAAGACACAATAAATTACAGAAATTGGTATTCAAATATATATATACAAGGAATCAGAACAGATTGTCCCCTGACTCCAGGGTTGTCGGTTCAGTCCCCGCCTTCCTTGAGCAAGACACAGAACCCCACATTGCTTCCAATGCCAAACATTTTTGCACGCTGCCATTGTTGTGTGAGTGAATGGGAGGCAGTTGTAAAGCTCTTTGGACAGAAGCAACTCAGAAATGCTGTCCATAATGTATTTTTGGGATTAAATGAAGGATATATCCGACAGGGAAAACAGATGTTAGAGAAGAATGAAGAACATCTTTTATGATGTTTCTGGTCATATGATGATAACGTTAACAACAAAGGAGTCGAATACATATCCTTTCACTCAGAAAAGATTTTCTGATGATAAATGCCAGCAATTTATTATTACCTCTTTGTTTTATTTAATTATTTATTTATTTAAGAATTACCCAACTAGTACCGAGTTGTAAAGTGCCACCAACATCGTTACAGTGATTATTGGGCTAATTACTGCACGCACACAGTCCATTAGCACAGAAACTCTCCTGCTCTGACTTGTTTTAAAGTGAAAGTACAGATGCTTTCAGAAAATGCAAAAGGGTGGGGGTTTAAGGCATCCAACAAAATGTCCCCAGCCAGTATTGAATTAGAAATGTTTCAGTTATATGGTATGCGTTGTAGTTTATTGCATACTTTCAGTGTATTTTACATGAAGTTATGTTCTAAAGTAAAATAGATAATACCATTTGTGAAAATCATATTAAAGCAAACGTGTGTGTTTGTTCTCGTACAGGACAGAGAAGGACAAGGCCCCTCCAAGTCCTTATCTCACTGTTAACAGTCGAGGTGAAGTAGAAGTTATGAACGACCAGGTACTGGTCAGCACCTGTGGAATGCACGTTTACAAATTCCCCTTTGACATTCAGAGCTGCAACATCTCCTTCAAGTCTGTCGTACACTCTGGTGAGCACGTAATCTCTTGTGTTACAAGTTTCTGTAAGTTGTTTATGTGTTCTGTGTCTGTTGGAATGCATGCGTGTGCTTTCATAACTTTGAAAATCTAATGCCATACATTCCTCACTTGTTGATCTGCAAGAAAACCTCAGTTTTATTTTTTATCTACCACTTCAGTTGAAGAAATACACCTTGTTCAGTATCTCAACTCTTCTGAGGCCACAGAGTCGTCTCGTGAGTTGATGCGGACCCAGTACGAGTGGCTGTTCATCAACATGACAGTCACCAACAAAACTGTCGAGACTTTCGGCTTCAAACAAGATGTGATGATTTATACAGTAAGTATTACTGAGAAAACATCATGTGTCTTAAGTAAGTAGAAATACTGAAGTTTCCATTTCCATTCTTTACATTTTCTTTTACAGAAGTTCTGTCACTGAATTATTTGCAGTTTAAATTTACTGATTCAGCATAAGAGGCCCTATTTTTATGGCGCAAAATGATAAGTGTGACAACAAGCACAAAGCGGTAAGTTGTGGGCACACGGACTGTGTAAACTAAGATAACTAAGATTTGGCAAAAAGCACACACTCTGGACCAATCCCTGTACAATGTAGAATTTCCACCCTTTCTCTTGCATTACTACTTCAAATGAGCAGACAATTTGAGTGCTTCTTGCACCACTGTATACATGGGCAGGTTGGGACAGACTACCTCGTTTTTGCAACCTACAGTATATCCTACTAATACCTGTAGATGCTTCAGTTTGGCCTTTGTCAAATGTATAAATCCACTATCTGACCCTTGAACATAACTTCACAGATCTCCATCAGGAGGAGGTCTGCCCTTTACATCGCCAACTTCATGTTGCCCGTCTTGTTCTTCTTGTGTCTGGACTTGGCCTCCTTCCTGATCTCAGACAGCGGGGGTGAGAAGCTCAGCTTCAAGGTCACTGTTCTGCTTGCTGTCACTGTGTTACAACTTATTCTGAATGAAATTCTGCCTTCTTCATCAGACAAGATTCCACTTATAGGTAAAAGAAAACTTTACAGAGCACATCCTGACTTCATGTGCAGTTATTTGTCCACATTAATGATGCTGCCTTCTCCCTTTAGCGACCTACTGTATTGGAATTTTTGGTTTGATGCTGCTCAGCCTCCTGGAGACGATTTTGGTAATGCATCTGATGGAGAAAGACTCCCAAGACGACGAGGCCGATAAAGACCAAAGCCTGAGTGAGGACTGTAACAAACAGAGCAAAGCCAACTTCCACAAGTATGATGCAGGTGAGATTAAGCATAGATTTCTACAAAACTCTGGATCTCAACTCAATCTCCCCTTGTTGTTCAGTTTGCTACTGTTTTTTTTTACTGCTATAATGGTGTTCACCTTTATGATATGAATACTCACAGACACACTTGTTTTTTCTTTTATACACAATTGTATATATTTTATATTCTACAATCATCTTTGTGTAAAATATATCTTGGCAGAGATGAAGAAATGGACTCTCTGTGATGTGTCTACTGGTGAAACTCCATCTGAACTGCTGTCGGAGGCCAAAGAGGTTAGAATGTCAAGATACCTTGAATATGGACATTTTTCAGCATTTACAAATAAAGCATTTTGCAGAAAACAATGAAATAACTGTTAAGAGTTACATTTGTATGCATCCTCCTTTGATATACATCTGTCAGCTCTTGCTTGCTAAAACCATATCATAATGTAGCACTACAGCTAATACAGACAAAGTTAGTAAGAATAAAAAGTAAAATTAGCATGAAATTCCTTAAAACCACTGGGATGCGTAAACTCATTCTGGCTATTGTATTCATTACGTTAGCATGTTTAAAAATCAAACAAACAAAAATATTTTAGACACAGAAAAGGTTCCAGATGCATAATGTGTGTGCAATAACTTGAGTTCATATTAGAGATAATATCAGAATCAGAATCAGCTTCATTTGCCAGGTATGTGTACACATACGAGGGATTTGGCTTTGGATCGTACATTTCTCATGATGCACTTACTCATACATTAATATAATCAGATACAAACTACAGTATACGGAACATATACATACACACACTAAACCAAAAAAACAATATACACAGACTGAGACAATAGTGCAATGAGCAGAGTGCCGAGGATGCAGGAGCAAATTATTATTATCATTATTATTATTATGTACATGTCTGAGGTGGATTTGATATACACATATACACATATACACATACACAGTGTGATGGAGCATGGTGCAAAGGATGCTGGAATAAATAAGTATTATGTGCAGGTGCTATGTACTTGAGGAAGGTGGATATGATACAGTATACACAATATGACAATATAATAGTATGAACAGTATGAACAGCACTAAAATACAGAATGACATATACAATTAAAAGTAGTAACCAGTAAATAGGTGGCTGATTAGAGACAGAGTTACTGGGTTAATGTATATACTCTGCACTCTTGATTTTTCTCTCAGAAAAATTATAGTACACTAAACAAAAGTCAAACTGATCACTGAACTTGATCACAGACCCTGACAAACGTTGCCAAACACAATTCATAAAACAGCGATAAACGCACAGTAACCGTGTGACCCATTTTACCCTATAACAGGTGTTTCCTTCTGCAGTTTCAGTGCAAAACCATTCACTGCCTTCATAAAATCCAAGGCTCTGACCAGATAGTTTGAGCTAATTCAGCACTCTAAGCTAGCAAGATTTCCTTCTTGGGACAATGGACAGTGCTCCTATTACTTTTGCCACTTGTGTAGTTTAAGGACTTGTAAAACCTACTCATTGAAAATGGTAAAAGCGAACGCAAATTTAGTTTTATAAGGAAACAACCAAATTGTATTATTTATTGGATTACATGTGGCATTTTCAGAGCTTAAAGCAAGAAAATCTTCTGTGCCTGAAATGTGTTCAGGGGTTACCACAAAGATGGAGGCCAAGAGTGTAACTTTGTGTTGAAAAGTGGTGGGGACATAGGGGCTCAGATTAGGTGTGTGACGAGACATAGGGGGATCCGGGGGCTCCTCCCCCAGAGAATTATAGAGCATAAAACACTTAATTTCCTGCATTCTGGTGAAATTTTCTGCCACCACCTATAATTACTGCTTGAAGTGGAAAAAAAGGGGCTGATACATAGGGCTGGGCAATATGGCCAAAAATGTTATCGTGATAAAAAATGTCATATGATTCGATATCAGTATTTATCAGGATAAATGTCAATGTCTTTCAAGTTTAAAGGCTGGTTTTAGCTCCTGAGTTAAAGTTTTTAAATTGTGGTTTTAAACTTTTCTTTATGGTCAGAACAAATACTTGATACCAAACATTGGATCACGTCACAAATCTGAGGTAGAACATTCAAAACTATTAAGATAAAATCTGTTTTTAATAAATAAAATTTAAATCCTTTTCTGTCCTGTTTCCTCAACAAAATAAATATCTGAATAGAAAAATGAGGTGCTAATTTGTTCATGATTCAAATGAATTAAATCAAATATTTATTGAACATTGGTCCCCGGTACACCAAAGAGTAAAATGTAGACGTGGTCCACCGATAGATTACCTTCCGACAAAAGTGGCCTTGTTACATTCACAAAGGTCCAGACAATCCAGTCCAGTAAAATATTTAGTACAAAACGTATTATTATGTATACACACAGACTGCTGCTTTGTTTTATATTAGCCTAACTGCATTTAGCATGTAAACAAGAAAAAGTTGCCACACGTTGACCTTTTGAATGACACCTCAGTTGAACCAGTAGAAACTTCCATGCCCTGTTCACAGCCTACAATAGCTAATGAGTGTCCACATAGTTGGTAAGTTCCAATCCCCTTTCTTTCATGTATACACCAAGCCAAGCTACCAATTGTGCTGAGGACTGGCACATCACACACACACGCTATGCACAGTTAAAAAAAATATGCTAGAATACTTTCCACAGACATAAATAGATATTGTTTAAAATAAAATGCACCGCACAGAATTTCCAGCACAGCGCCTGTATTTTGTTGAGAGGTGGCCATTGTATAGGTGGGATATACCCTCCACGGTTGTAGATTCCACTATTGTAATGAGATTCTGCAGAACATAGAACTTGTATCGGGGCTGAGGTTTAAAATAAATCTAGATATCTAGAGCCAGATACCTTTCATATTACAATTGACACAAAAATGTGAACTTCAAATGCAGCAGCTGGATTAGCATTATCACATTTTTTAACCACAGTTTATTAAACTACTTCTGCAGGGTAGCAGCAGCAAACTGACAGAGGAGTGCCATGACTCTGAAAAGCTCTCAGATGACCTGAGGGAGGTGTTGAAAACACTGAGCGTGCTTCTCAACAGCAAGAAGGAAGAAGGGAAGCCCGGCTACTGGGCCAGAGTGACTAAAAGAATCAACAAAGCCTTTTTCATTTTCTATGTCATAGCTGCGAGTCTGTTTTTACTCTGTATGTGTATCAGTTGGACTTATGCAGAAGAATAATTGTGCTAAATAGTGAAACATACTGAATGATTGAGTTACAGTTCCCAGAAGTTGTAATGCGTTAATTTTTGGTGATCAGTCCTGCATCAGCACTATGAACCTACTGGGAAAATTTATTCTGATGATTGACAACAAGTCATGTGGCCCTTCAGGTTATGCAGATGTGAAGCTTTGGTGATTACAAAGTCCCTGCCCCCAGTTTGGTGTCATTAACTTAAGTCACTGACCACACACACACACTCACACCTTGTTCTACTGATCTAGAAAAGCTTATGAGGAAAGATGTAGTTGGCTGTTCAGATAATATTTAATCCGTCCTGTAATGCAATCACACACATCTGCTATTTGCATGTTTCACACAGTGGTTTAAATCAATCACACATGTTGTATTGTAATATTCTAGTACACTAATATGTGAGAAAGTGCTATGTCAAGTGTTTAATTATGCATGCAGATGTTAGCAAGATTGCACCTTGTTCTAGTTCAATACTAACATGTCAATGTTTAGTAGATATAAAGTTTACAATGCTCACCATTTCAGATTAGCGTCTTAGCATGCTTACATGTGTTCAGAGGATCACTAAAGTCTGTAGGATTCATTCTTGGGAACCGTAATTAGGTGTACAAGCTTTTGTGCCAATCTATCCAGTAGATGTTGAAATATTTCAGTCTAAACCAAAGAACGACCTACAAACCAATATTGCCATCTGTTGAGCCAAGGTGCTAACGTAACAGGTTGTTCATATATCTATCTGCATTAATCTTCTTTATGTATTCACAATGGAATAACAGTACTGATATCTGAAAACATGTATCAGACTCTTTGTGATGCAGAAATAAACAATAAAACAAAACCTATTCGCGCTATTTTTTCGTATGTGTGTGTGAGGGAACCAAAATAGTAAGGTTGTGTCCAGAAAACCAAACCAATGAGCTGAAGGATGCTAAAATGCTCCTCAGAGCTGAGGGGAACTACAGAAAATACTCTGAGGGTTCATCACTAAGAGAAGCCACCTATTAACTTCACTTAAGTAGTCACAAGATCCAATGTTAATTTAACAATGTTAATTAGATCCGCATGAAATGAATCCTAATTCCCCCAGAATACTCTCAACTCTTGTAGTTTTGAAGTGAGGAATCATACAAGTGGGGATTATCTGATTAATCTGCCTAATTTAACACTTTAACACATGACCAGCTGTTGCTTTAAGTGGGAATGATTGTTGTATTGTCTGTCTCAATAATCAAACACATTAATAACAACAAATACAACAAGCTATTTCTCCTGAAAAAAAATCTAAATTTAATTTGCCAGTTACACACGGATGCTTTTCTTAGAAACTACAGGGTGTTCGGGGTGTTTTTTGTATTCCAAATGGAGAATTAAAGTGGCATGAAACTTGGTCAACGGGTGATAAATATTGTATTAGTAAGAAAACAAAAAATGTTTTCACAATGTCCATCACATGTAGTCACTTTTTTGACAATGTTTCCATCCTCTAGTCCATCAAACAAAGTCCATAACTATTGTGTCATTTCATTTTGAATTTGGTACAAGATATAAAAATGTGTTGGTAAGATTAATACAGGATATTGAATATTCTTGTGATTTCTGTGGATAAAAAAATAGAAATATTAATTTATTTATATATTTAATCCATTATATTATCAGGTAGTATCATTGAGATCATGACATCTTTTTCAGGAGAGACCTGTGTACAAGAATAAACATATACAGGACAGACAAAAAACATTCACACACAAGTTAGATACGAGTTTTATATTAAGAAAAGCAATTACAAGTGGAACTGCAAATACTCGAGTATAGTCTTTTAAAATCTTCAGGTGAAATGTTACTTCAGTTTATGAGCAAATGGTCCAACAAAGGCATTTTGGACAAAGATTTGATTTTCTTTGTGCAATTAGTTTTAAATCCACATTCATAAAAAAAGACAGGCGCTGACTCCAAACCTATTCCTGGACAATTAAGTCAATATGGCACTACAATTAAACAAGAAGGTTGAAAATATCATGACCAAGATGCCAGCGTGCACACGACACGAGACTCAGCATCTCTCCAGATTCTGCAAATGATTACTTATATGCCTGTTAATTTCAGGTCTGTTCACTCAGAATAGTCTTGCATACATATCATAAAGCTACATACAATACATATTTATACTACTGTCTATACTAAACATATCTGATCTATAGTGAATTCGTATTTATACTAATGTCTATAGTACTTATTTCTGATCTTATCATACTTCCAGCATAATGTCTACTAGTAGCATTATTTGTGGCCTACTCACAACTGCACTATGCAATACATATACCTGCAGTGTCCACTGTAACCACTGCACAGTGGTATTTATATTATGCTGCACTTTACTGCTTTTTGCATTTCTGGTTAGATGAAAATCTATCTCTTATTGTTTAAAGTATGCGATGAATCAGTTTAGCATATTTGATGTACTGGCATGATTTTTGCAGTTATATATGGTTGAAATTCTTTGGATAAAAACATCAGCTAAATAAGTTTAATGTAATTATAATATTTGAATCTAATAATTTTTTAATGCATCAATATGTTTGTAATTATTCAATACTATCTGATGATACTACTGGTAAAATTAGTTTTTGTTTATAATTATTTGTTGTCCTGTGTATTTAATGTTTGTAGTGTGTTGTGTGTCCTCCTGGGCTGCAGGCGGCGCTGTTTGCTTCAACGTCACCGCGCTGTCGTTCAATCAGTGACGTGGATTTTCATTGTGGCAGTCAGTGCTGCCAAAAAGACAGACCCGCCAACGTTTCAGACCTTTTCCTCTAACTTTGTTCACATTTAGAAGTTGGACCACTCATTTTCTTTCCTCCGTTTGTCGCACTTGAACACAGTTTTGTCACAGCTTTCATAACAGGTGAGCGGGTCTCGTAAAACGTTAATGTTAGAGGGGTTTCCTGCTCTCTGCTGCTAGTCGAAAGTACCTGCAGTAAAAACTGTTAAAATTGGTTAGAAATCCCCTCGTGTCAGTGTTTATTTTCCACATTAACTCTACGGTGTGTTTTCTCACAGGCCCCAGGATGAGTAAAAACAGCAAAGTGTTGAACCTGAAGGATAAAATCAGTGGGAAAGAAGCGGACCTGAGCTTGTGTAACCTCACTGAGGTGCCAGTCAGAGAGCTGGTAGGTTAACCTTACGTGTCTGTGTCTCTGTTTGTGTGTGATCATGAAGTCAGATTAAACATTGCACTGTAACTTTAAGCACAAGGCTGTCATGCTGTTTTATTTGTTAAAATGCTTGTTGAATGGACAGTTAAGCCTGATATTAATCTATCCCAACAGGCTTTATTTACCAAAGCAACTGTTGTGGACTTGTCCTGCAACAACATCATCTCTCTTCCTGTAAGTATAAACACAATCATACTGTACTAAACACACCATTTAGCCCTTAGAGCCCTGCTTTTTTTTGGCTTGTGACTCCTTAAACTGGAGCCATGTGTTATGGCTTCAGTGTGAGAGTGTCAGGGTTGGGCGATATGGACCAAAAATCACATCCTGGTATTTTTAGGCTGAATTTCGATACACAATATATATCGGGATGCTCTACAAATTGGGCTAAATTTTCAGTTGTACCTCGAAGCCAAATTTGAGCTGTAGGATGCTTTGTATTGTGGATTTTTAGAGAAATTAATGTATTAAATTAAGTAGTTATCTAGGGATTTTTAAAGTGTTTAAATTGTAATCAGTTTGACAACTAAAGGTATGTAGCAACTTCACGCCCGCAAACCTCTTAATATACCTGTAAAGTGAAATCTGAGATAGTTTTAAATTGAAGTCAAGTCTTCCTGGCTTTTTCATTATATTGAATATAAAGCAGTCACAAATTTTCATCTTCTCAAAAGTAGTCTCAATTATTGCAAAACAAACGTGTTCTTCATTTAAAAGGCAAGGCAGCTAAATTTGTGTAACACATTTCACACAAGAGGCAAGTCATAGTGCTTTTAGACAGGCAAAGAAAAGCATGAGAATGACATTAAAAACAATAATAAGCAATAAAAATCAGACAAGATTTTAGAAATTAGATTAAAATAAATAAACTACATATAATGAAAGTTTATAACACTAAATTTAGGGGATTGCCTAAATGAATGAAGGATTAATGTGAATTTTGTCTGTCCTTGGAGACTGAGATTGGTTAAGTTTTAAACCCCTCTGAGGTAAATTTGTGATGTGTGAGACAAATAAGTAAAAGTGTACAGTTGGTCATAGAGGAGTCAGTCCCTCTCAAACTCTGGGATTACAGGTTGAGCTGCCTCCTGCTTAACCTGCTAACCTTAAATTTGACCTGCAGATTTCCATTGCAGGTCAGACATTGTCATTGTCACTTGGTTTCTTTCATGTAGCCAGAGTTCTGCAACCTGACCCACCTGGTGAAAGTGGATCTGAGTAAAAACCAGCTGACCTGTCTGCCAGATGACCTGGGGAACCTGGCCAACCTTCAACATCTGGACCTGTACAACAACAAGCTGACTGTGCTGCCCGTCAGCTTCTCTCAGCTCAGGGTAAGTTCCAGACACAAGCATTGTTTGCTCATATTACATTTGTACTGAACTATTAACATAAAGCTGCGTCAGTGAGTGTAATATCAAGACTGACACCGGCCAGTTATTAGGTGCTTATTTTTGTACATTTTTTGATGCAGTATAAAAAGGAATCTTTAATACAATTCTGTTTATTGTACTCTCAGATCTGTCGGTTACATTTAAAGCTAGCACCAGCAGCCAAATAGCTCAGCTTAACATAAAGCCTGGACTCAGGGGGAAACAGCTACCCTGGGTCTGTGCAAAGGTCCTGTGCAAAACTCCTCTAAGCTCACCTATTAACACATCTCTCATTTGCTTAATCCATACAATAACCAAACTGGTAATTAACAAACTAATTTGTGAGCTTTAGAGGGTGTTTTTTTACCTTTTGCAAAGAGCTTGGCTAGCTATTTACAGTCTTTATGCTAAGCTAACCAGCTGCTAGCTGTAGCTTCATATTTAGCATACAGACATGAGTGTTATCAATCTTCTGATCAAACTCTGTGAGAAAGTGAATAATCATATTTCTCAAAATGTTGAACTTTTCCTATATATTCCTATATGATATGGTTATTATATGGTGTCA